CGCAATTTCAATTTGCGCAATTTGAAGGGTAATGGAAACGCGCCCCTACTGTCTGCCTCACTGTCAAAATCCTCATCAGAATTAAAAAAAAATCTCCACAAGTTCCTCGTTTGTGAATTTTCTTCTTTTAAAATGATTGTCAGACATTTTTACTTATTTAAATAATGAAAAACTGTTTTGAATTTATGTAAATTTGTTTATCAAATAAGGCGAGGCCAGTGTGAGGTAAAAGTGACGTCAGCTTTGTTTACAACTGTGAGAGTAGAAGCCGCCTGGATTTACAACGCACAAGATCACCCACTCCTCCCGAAAAAACATGTAAGTTGCTGGCAAACTGGCAGAGGAATAGACATAGCTGTATCTAAACATGAAGTGTTTGATGTAAATAAAACCTCGCGTTATGTTTGAAAGGTTATTTTGCCTCCGTTGTAGAGATCAGTGTTAGATTACAAAATACATATAGTTTTTCCTACTATTTGTGTGACTATGTAATGTAATTTAAAATGTATAAAAAATAAAATAAACATGCTTGAAAACACTGAAGGCGTCCGTCTCTGGATCAGTGCCAATCAAAGCGGGAAAGCAGATTTGAATTGTGCAGTTGATGACGTGACACATTGAACGTTCTAGTGATCGTACGCGTCAAAGAGTTAAAACTACTAGAGAACATTAAATGCTTACTTCCAGCATATATATTGGGCATTTCATAACAGGTTCATATGTTTGATGGTGGCATGCCATTTAATTGGACACATGTAAAAATAATTAAAATAAATACACTGATTAAACAAATATTAATGTTGCACTTTGAGAGGGGCACTGACTCTAGACTTATTAAGTGGGCCGTGGAGTTTCTTGGACACCTATACAAAGACACAATTGGTAGTTATTTTCAATATATAATTGGACAACATAAATCAAAAGGTGGACAGTTCAATTCTGAACAATACCTCTGACAAGTGTGACACTGTTTTGTTGTTTTTGTGTTTTCTGTATTTCTATGCGCTTTTGTGATTTAAGCGTGTGAATGCATGTTTATGCATCAAACGATAAACATGTATGAAAAGACAGGAAAAAAAGAACATCTACAGGAAGAATGATATCAAATCTGCATGTAAAACTTCACAAACCAAATTAAATAAAATGTATAAAAAAATAAAATTAGTAGGGATGGGCGTATCGATCCTAAGTATCGATATATCGATACTGACGCGAGTATCGAAAGTATCGATACTCAAACTAAAACTATCGATACTAAGGTGTGTTTTATTTACCAGTGATTTTGTTTATTTAAAATAATAATAATGCGTACAAATGCATTGAATTGGACGAATAACCTTTGTTAGCGAGTAATTGTGTAGGATAGAACTATTTTCCTGATCATCTGAACACATGCAAATGTTGCATTAAAGTGACCATAGTTCAACTGTAGTATTTGTAGATTTGAATCATGTGTAAACAAAAAACACATTTGAACCATGTGTAAACAAAAATATAACCTAATAAATTACAATTAAGGCGTATTGAATGTTAAAATGTGTTTTAAACATAAAGTTAAGTGGTTATCATTACCCATTTTACTCTTAGTAATTTAATACATTTCATCATTTAAAAGGTTAGTTCAGAAGTATCGTATCAATATCGATATCGACGATACTACCTTGAAAAATATCGGTATCGTATCGAAAACAAAATAAGTGGTATCGCCCATCCCTAAAAATTAGTTAACAAAAAAAACTAATAAATATCAAATGAAAAAAGAGATAACAATATAAAACACATACAGAGGAAAACGTATGCATCAGTGGTACAACCCCCCACAAAACTTACAATTTCAAGAATTGATCACTTTTCTCATTTTCAATCAACCGAAGAGATTTAATAAATGCAACTTAAATTAAGGAATGCGAAAAGGTAGGCTGCGAATCAGAGAATTTTTTCTTATGTAGTGAACACTGAAAAGTGCTTTTAAACATAAAGTTAAGTGGTTATCATTACCCATTTTACTCTTAGTAATTTAATAAATTTCATCATTTAAAAGGTTAGTTCAGAAGTATCGTATCGGTATCGATATCGGCGATACTGCCTTGAAAAATATCGGTATCGTATCGAAAACAAAATAAGTGGTATCGCCCATCCCTAAAAATTAGTTTTTAAAAAAACGAATAAATATCAAATGTAAAAAGAGATAATATAAAACACATACAGAGGAAAACGTATGCATCAGTGGTACAACCCCCCAGAAAAACGTACAATTTCAAGAATTGATCACTTTTCTCATTTTCAATCAACCGAAGAGATTTAATAAATGCAACTTAAATTAAGGAATGCGAAAAGGTAGGCTGGGAATCAGAGAATTTTTTCTTATGTAGTGAACACTGAAAAGTGCTTTTATTTTGGTCTGGTGACATGACGTCATAAGTCTGCCTCGCGCTCCTCCGTGTGTGAGCAAAACACTTTAGATGTGATTCGGCTGCACACAGGTTTGTGTTTTTAAGCGTTCAATGCGTTCAAATCATTGTAAACCGCTAAGGCAATTTAGTATTTAAATGTTTAATGTTAAAAGAACTTTGTGAAGAATTAATAAATTACTAAATGTGAAATTGAACTACTTTGTAACATTAATGAGCGTTAGTTTTGTGGCTATTTCGCACCACCACATGAGTAACAGAAAAGGTGCGTCTCATTTCTCTCATATCACGAATCAGTTTATTTAAAAAACGAAATATGATACAGGTAAATAGTGATGGAAGAAACGAAGCTTTTCGAAGCTCGAGTCAATTGAATCAATGCTTCCCAAAATGATTCACGCAGTAAATTTAATCTCGGTGAACGCATTTCAGAATGTAACATTTAATTTCTCGTGAGGCGTAAATTACTAGTTTTTATTACTCTGTTTGGATTGAAGCGCTCGAATCACTTGCTGGTCACAATTTTACAAAACATTTGTACGTTAAAAGTGCGATTTGTTGTATGTATTTATTTATGATGATGGCTTTTTGTTTATTTCTCTTTTTTTTTGTACCAGTTGCATGAACTACTTATAGAGTATTCTTAAAGTTTTTTTTTTTTCCAAGACTGGTCATAACTAATAGGCTAACGTTAGATTGGTCTAACTTGAATCTGAAAAGTAAAACTGATTAACTGCTTGTTGGTCAAACTTGTTATTAGCATAGTGACTGTTTATGCAACTGACCCAGGGCCATTTAAGAACACTATCACTCTTGCCAGTGTGCTAAATAATAAACTAGGGAGCTGATTTATACGCACTCAGAGGTTTAGTTTGTATGTGTTTTTTTTCAAACACATTTCCCCCCCCCAAACACAGAGAAGTTTCTGGTGAAGCAAGTGAGATCGACGTGACGTACTAAAAATGGCGTTCATTAAGGAGGAGAGCGAAGACATTAAAATTGAAGAGGCATTTCAAGTGAAACAAGAAGATGCTGAGGAACAAACAGGTTGGTTTCCATTCTCAAAGCTTGAGGCTTCTTATGTGGACAGGCATGTTGACATCACATAACCAGCCAAATACTCATTATTACATGCCATATCAATTAGTGTCAACCGATGATGGATTTTGAAAAATATGACTTATATAAACTAGTATAATATAAACGGATTAATTGCCAATTATTTTTAAAATCAATAATATGAACAAACTTTCCACATTCCACAAACTTTATTGGAAAATGAAAAAGAATGGATTCACCATGAGTATATTTTATAACTATTAAAATAAAATAAATAAAAAAGCTTCATCACTACTGATAGTTTTATGCCTGCTGTCACGGACAAGGCTTAAATAAAAAAGCTTCATCACTACTGATACTTTTATGCCTGCTGTCACAGACAAGGCTTAAACCTAGTCCCAGACTAAAATGCATCTTTGTGCTATCTTATCTCAATGCAACTTGCACTGACGTATCTTAAAATATGTATTTGTATCAAGATGCACAGCAGTAATGTGTTTTAAGGCACATTAAAAAAGTAAATAAAATAACAAAATAATGTCCTAATTTAACTAAGACCTTGGCTAATCCTGTCTTAATTTAAAACCTGTCTGAGACACCAGGCCTTAAAGGGATAGTTCACCCAAAAATGAAAATGTGATGTTTATCTGCTTACCCCCAGGGCATCCAAGATGTAGGTGACTTTGTTTCTTCAGTAGAACACATATGATGATTTTTAACTCCAACTGTTGCAGATGTCCAACTGTCTTTGGGCGCGTGCACGGCATCCGGTGCGTGAGGTGTGTACGCTCTCTGGCGTAGTTTACGTTAATGGGTGTTGATATCCAGCCGAAGAGCAATCAACCATAACTTCAGGCGAGCAGGATCAGAAGTTGGGAATACGTGGAAAGTAACCACTCCTGAATGAGTTCGCGCAAGAGAACGTAATCTTTTAGTTTTAAGTCATCAAATTTTCATTTTTGGGTGAACTATCCCTTTAATATTATTTTGTCATTTACAAAAACAAAGTGATAGAGGTCAGATACATAGGACCTAAACCAGGGTTCCTCAAATCTTGCCCTGGAGGGCCAATGCGCTGCAGAGTTTAGCTCCAACCCTGATCAAATTAACCTACCTGTGATTTTCTAATGATCCTGAAGACATTGATTAGCATGCTCAGGTGTGTTTGATTAGGGTTATAGTTAAACTCTGCAGGAAAGTGGATCTCGTGGGCCAGATTTGAGGATCCCTGACCTAAACCATGCTTGTCTACAAATGTCCAATGTAATTCTAAAGCTATCTAAGAGAATGTCAAAACCAAAAAGTGGATCCAATTGCAAGAAACAAAAATAATCCACGTCCAGGCACTCACATAGCAGGCAAAATATAAAAAGCCTTTATTGTGCGACAGGGCTACATGTTAAAAAACACCAATGCGTATCAGCCCAAACAGGCCTTCTGACATTTTGTTCCCTCTCTGGAGCACCCATAGTCTCACTCGTGAGTACCTGATGCGCCCCTGGTCAAGACTTTTTTTCTTTAATTACTATCTAAGAGAATGTTGTGGTTTATGTTGTCAAAAGATCTAATAGCATTAGAAGACAAATGTAGCTGCTAGTGTTGTCACGATACTGGAATTTCTAACTTCGATTCGATACCTTGAAAAATATCGATATTCGATACCATTTTCGATACCACAGGGAAAAAAACTGCCACAACGTTATATCAAAGATGAATAAATACTGTAACAAATGTATTGCTTATTTTTCATTAATGTGGGTTAATACATTAACATTTGTATGATGAACAGATTGTAATTTCGGATTCACATATAATCATTGATCAACGCACATACATAGAGTGCTATAGTAAACATGGAAGCACAAACATGCATGCATCATGCGCGAAAACCTCATTGGAATGACATGAGGACAAATTGCAGAATTTGTTAAATAATAACTTTATTCAGTAGATTAAAAAAAATTAACTAAGCACAAGAGTACCTACTAGGGTTGACCCGAATAGTCGATGATTCGATGCTTCGATAGGAGGGGCCTGATTCGACTACAAATCTCACAGTCGAATATTCGCAGAGGTTTTATGATTTCACATAGAACTACCGGTTTTCTCCCAATAAGTTAATATACAGCCTAATGATAATGCTGTAAATAAGAATCTGAAAAGAAAGAAGCTTTAAAGGGGTCATATGATGCTGCTATAAAGAACTTTATTTTGTGTATTTGGTGTAATGAAATGTTTATGCGGTTTAAGGTTCAAAAAACACATTATTTTCCACATACTGTACATTATTGTTTCTCCTCTATGCCCCGCCTTTCTGAAACGCGTCGATTTTTACAAAGTTCATCGGTCTGAAAAAGTGAGGTGTGCTCTGATTGGCCAACTATCCAGAGCGTTGTGATTGGCCGAAT